AATAATATGTAAACATAAGATGAAAAGAAAAAGAATTCTATTTAAATTGAAATTAGTACCGAAATCTGAAAAATAATGTGTTAAAATAATTGCACTGGCCATCTTGACATGAAGGCAAAATCAGTTCTGTTTCAGTGTGCCTCAAAAATCAATATTGTTAGTCGGATATATTTTTCTCAACATCAGCCATCAGCAACCAAAGGGAGGTTATTGTCCTTAAATCACTTTTTAATCTTTTTCTGCTATGCTTTGCCTCATTGTCTTGTTTCAAGACCTAAACAGTGGCATATTTATAGCAGCATTACTTCCTTAAGTATTTTTATGTGTTCTGTTGCATACATGAAGGTATTTATACGGTGAATAGGCCCAAAACCCTAGTTCGAAAAACAGCCCCATATCATGATAATGGAACCACCGTGTTTTAGTCTTTGTCGTAAACTTTCTATTATATTCTGAATTTGATGGTCTTCTAACATCGAATTGAGCACCCTTTCCACCGAATAAAACTACTTTCGACTCATCTGTTCACTGAATAGTACGCCAGTTTGCAATGGGTGGTTTTTAGCAAACTGCAATCGTTCGGCCTCACACGCAGATTTGACACAAAAAAATTTACTTTTCGTGAACTGTAGGCTTTTAGATTACATTATCTGAGTCACTTGCATATTGGCTCAGCGCTTATTTGTAGTTCTAATTCCTTTTTCACTTCTGCAGCTGACATTAACAGAGACTTTTTCATTTCCTGTACTATACGTACTGACCATTGCGGGTGCTGTTACTGTTTTTCGTCCACGTCTTTCGGCTTTACATTGAAAAGTAATTGCATTTCGTATCATTTTATTTGAGCAATTAACAATATTTCGAAATCGGGAGAACGTTTCCCCACGGAAAGTAGTTTTGTTTTACAATATTAATTAACGCTTTTCACCTGCACAGTGTTTAGCACGACCTATCGCAAACATTAGAGAGACAGAATTATGAAAAAAAAATTATTGTGAATAATACGTTTGCCAATATAACAAATAAGAAGAAAAGCAAGCACTAAAGGAAACCGCATAGAAACTCACTCGAAAACTCAAACTCAAAGTAAGTGACTGAATATTATATCGATTTTACATACATAAATAACATATGTGCAATACATTTGTTTAAATGGACACACTACATACATATATACTTACTTATGTCCACAATATGCGCGAATACAAGAAAGCCTTTCCCCCCCAAAAAAAGAGCAAAATAAATCGATTGAAATCGTGAATGAAAGTGATTTAATTTTGTTTTAACGTTTTACTTTTTAAACGTTTTAGGCAATGTTGTCTGCTTTGCAATGTTTGAAATAGAGTAGTAGAAAAATTGGCATTTACTCGCGGTAAAACCATAAATTGCTAATCAACAAAAAAAAAAAAAAAGAGTGAAGAAAAAATACAAACATAAAAAGGTTGAAATCATAACAACTACATATACATACATATAGTGTAAATATTGGCGGATATACAATATTTGTACTTGTATATGTAAACCAATGCATGTATGTAAGCTTATACCTTTGCTCGCAATCAAAACAACCGCTCCCAACTTTGAATTTATTAAGTCATCGCCGAATGTCGAAAAATCACGAGCTGTTCAAATTTGTTACTTATGTATCATACTATACACATGTGTGTATATCGTACATAGTACAAGCGTATGTGTATGTTTGTGTGCGACTTGAGCTAATTTTAAAAATTTTAAAACATTATAATCATGTTATTGATCTTTGCCATCAAAAATAAAATTTACAAACAATAAAGTTTGTTGAGCTCATCTTTTATACGTGTATATGTATATACATATATATGTATGCATGTATGTACACATAGTAAATAGAAAATCACCATTCATCCATGACTAATCGCCAATTAAGCTAACGATCACACCCTTTACCTTGACAATGACTTGATGTGAAGAAATATCTACCGTTTTATTTAGACTACAGTACTCGTACATTATATGCATTGTATAACGTTTCTAAACACGAAAAAGGCAACTAAGTCAACTAACATATATGTATATACATTTTGTAAGAACTCAATGCTGCATATATTCTCCTTTCACTCACACTACTGTTTATTTACAATATTTACTTTATGAAACAGAATTCATTTGAAAATCTACCCACGTCAAATTACACATCAGTTCATGGATTGTAGAAGTTTGCAATTTAAATGGAATACGCGGTAGACTCAGCCGAAAATCGCTTAAACGGTAATAGAGCGCCAATTATATGTACATACATACTTATGTATGTGTGGACTACAGTATATTAATGGAGAAATACCTTATTACGACAAATTTAGTATGTATGTGAGTAATACATGAAGTAAAAATCCATCAGGAATTCTGACTATTTTCTTTTAGTTTTTCTAGTTTTCGTTCTTTAATTTTTTATCATTTATTTGTATTGATTTTTTATTTTTTTTATATAAATTTTTTATTCTCTTTATTTTTTTTTTTATTTTCTTTATTTATTATTTTATTTTCTTTATTCATTTTTTTATTTTCTTTATTCATTTTTTTATTTTCTTTATTTATTATTTATTTGCTTTATTTATTTTTTTATCTTTTTTATTTTTTTATTTTTTTTATTATATTTTTAAAATTTTTTTAATTTCTTTAATTATTTATTTATATTTTTTAAATTTTATATTTTTAACTTTTTTTTTAATTTTGTTTAATTTTTTTATTTTTTCTATTTTTTTTGAATTTTTTTATTTTTTTAATTTTTTTTTTAATTTTTTTTTAATTATTTTTAATTTTTTTTTAATTTTTTTTTAATTTTTTTTTAATTTTTTAATTTTTTTTTTTAATTTTTTTTTTTTAAATTTCTTATTTTTTATTTTATTTCTTT